ATTTCCATTACAGTTTAGGACCTGGGGTAGCAACGCAGTGTAGGCGGGGCGATCGGCTTCACATTTCGAGTTGTTCCGTCGAGCTCCCGCTGTATTTGATCATCCCCAATGAGATGAAGGAACGTCGTCACCTCCTCGGTCGACCACGGTATGCTTTTTTTTGACGTTGCCATTTTTGTAGCTCCTCCGTTTACAAAAATGCTGTGTATAAAAATGCTGCAAGCTTGCTTCTAGATATATATGCGACGCTAGGGATGAACTTCGCGCGCGATCTTGTGACGATTCTCTCTGACCAATCAGCAGTCGAGAGTGTTGACGTCACTAGTTCAGCCCTGGCCCTGGTCTGATAGAACCACGATTTTATGAGGCCGGAAAAAGAGGGAAAAAGTACCCGCTAGCCGGTACTAGGCTATATGGAAAGGCCACCAAAAACTGGCCTGGCCGCTTGAGGACGGTTAAGGATGCTTAAACGGGGCTACCCGCTGCAGTGGAAATGCGCCATAAGTGATGGCATAACCGCCTTGGTATACAGGGTACAGTGATGCGTAAGTGCTTTACAATTTGTCACAAATCTCAGTGCACTGTGATACGCAGCATCTAACTTGCTCAGGTAATTGGCAGGTGCATTCATATATAACAAATCACCATAGTCCAGCACAGGTAAAAAGGTCCTGGCCTCAAGCGAGAAACAGGACTTATTTCTTATTTCTGTAAAAGAAACCTAGTCTAACCCTCAGCTTTTTAAGCAGGTTATTGACATGAAGTTTAAAAGTGAGACAACCATCAAGCCAGATACCAAGGTATTTGTAACAGGTAACCACTTCAAGTTGTATTCCTTGTGTAGTTACAATATCTAAAACAGTCTCTGGTGTATTTTTAGCTTTAGCTTTCAAAAAGTGCATTACCTTGGTTTTATCCACATTTAAAAGAAGCTTTAGTTCAGAGAGCTGAGCCTGAATAATGTTAAAAACAGCCTGTGATTTAACAACAGCCTCGTTAATCGAGGGACCTGCACAGTACATAACGGTATCGTCCGCATAAAAATGTAAGGTTGCTCCTTCGACATTTTCACCTAAACTATTAATATAGATAGAGAATAATAGCGGACCTAAAACTGAACCTTGTGGTACACCATTAGTTCTGCCAGGTCTTCTGGACTGCACCGGGGGGCATCGGCACATTCCAGTAGGTTGGACATTGTCTGCACTGATCCACAGCTGCACGTGTCTTCTGTGGTGTAGTTCAAGATCACTGATAGCTACAGACCCTGCCTTTTCAAACTGAAGCTGTAAAAGCAACTGGGATTTGCCGTGATGTGTAAATACAGTGGTTTCACTGTATTTGTAATGTAACCACATTGAAGATAAATGAAGATAAACCCCTGGAAGTAATTCACAAAAGCATATAACAGGAACATTCTTTAAAAGCAAATGCACATGGTTTTTGGCCTCATACAATATGTATATATTAATACTTGAATGGAATCTGTTTGCCCATGAACAGTCACAGTAGCATTTATGAAATCTTGAATTGCTAGGATAGACTTGTAATCAATGAAATACAATATATTGATAATTGGTCACACCATAAGGCTGTTTTGAATAACAGGTTGTTAATAGTACAAAAGCAGCAGATCACAAGTACAGCTAACGTTTCTGATATATCCAAAATACATATTTATTTATTGAGTACAATTAATCAGATTTGGCATTTGCAGTCACTTCAACTACACATGACAGTGTAATCTTTACGTGAAAATATTTCTGTAAAATTGCTTCTCTATTCTAAATTTGCATTTTAACTCTTCAAGTTTCCTCTACTTCTAAATCCATAAAAAAAACATTGTGTTATATTGCTGTCCTGGATTTGAAGTGTGAAGGCCAGCTTAAAAATGCATCACATATTACTCAAATACTAACTTTTCCAAATAACACAATTCATGACTAGACTTTGGTTCTTGTTGTAAGTGGCTATGGCTAACATAACAGCTAATTACCATACTCACATGCAGCCTTGGGGTGTAGTGTTTCCTGCGTGTCTGTGAGTGGATGTTGTTGTGTGTTTGTTGGTTTTAAGGACCTGCTGCTGTCAGACGGAGGCCCGGCTGTGATTCATTGGTTATTACAGCAGCGCTGTAGCATGCACAAGCCATAGCTCATCATCCGATTGCATTCATATACGTCACAACACACAGATACACATGTCCTCATGCTCACTCATATGCACACACACACACACACACACACACACACACACACACACACACACACACACACACACACACACACACACACACACACAGAGGAATGATTGTCTGATATAAAGGAAGAGAGGGGAGGTGGGGGCAACTTGGGGAAATTGATCTTTGGCTCAGAATATATCACCAATGGACTGCGTGGCATATTAATGCTGTCTGACTGGTTAGAGCAGGAAGGAGCAGACACAGCAGAGGGCAGGGGATCTCCATCACCAACACAGAGGGACGGGGGGAGATGGATGGAGAGCAGAGGCAGACGGAGCGGTTCTGTCCCTGAGCACTTACAGTGGAGCATGTTGTGTTTCTCTCTCCTGCCGCAGACAGGGAGGGCTCTCATCCATAACGGAGCCTCTCAGAGATGTGGAGGTGCTGGGAGGTGGGGCAGTACATTTAGAGTTTAACAGGACTCCTTTAAGGCATCTGTTTGAGTTCACAGCCCACAGGTTTCACTGGAAGACACTCTATACTGCCCTTATTGTCTGCTATGTTTGAGTATGTTTCTTGACTGTATGGTCAGATGCTTTCATTCATTTTGACCGTCGAGCGGTTTCAACAGCTAGCTAGTTATCAATAGAGTATGTGGACAGACATTGATGCTAATCCATAGTATGCATTTGCCAGTTTAGCTTTAAATGATGTATAAATGCATAGTATTGATGTGATCTGTTTGAACTCCTGATCGCTTGTTGCTATCAAACAAGTTATGAACTTGACCATGCTAAATGAAGAGGTTCATGGACAGGATTAGGGATACCATTGTTACATGTTGGTAAGAAGCTAAACTAAGGTTAAAGGTCACATCATGGTCAATGAAAATAACTTCATCTGTTTTACAAACCAATTTGGGCTCATTCTATGAGCACAGAAAATAACTCTGAACACTTTTAATATAATTATGAATTGTACACCTTCACAGTTAACACTTAACACACTTGACATGATTGTAACAAGATATGAATATCAGGCACATACATTGAAAAATGTCCATGTTATATTATGAATTTTAGCAGGACAAAATGAGGAGAATGATTTTTCAGAATATTTAACATCAAATCTAGCAGTTGAGTGTTTAAGCAGACTGCAGACGGTTAAAATACATTATTATTATTATTATTATTATTGTGTTGAATAAATAGCAAGTCAATCAGGTGTTACATTTTGGGTATATGTTCTATTAAAAGTATTTTTTCTATGTTATCATTTATCTTGAATTATACTAAAAATAATCCTAATTGTGAAAGAGGGACTTGCACTCATGGCCTTTGTGATTTAAAATTGTGTGTGTGTGTGTGTGTGTGTGTGTGTGTGTGTGTGTGTGTGTGTGTGTGTGTGTGTGTGTGTGTGTGTGTGTGTGTGTGTGTGTGTGTGTGTGTGTGTGTGTGTGTGTGTGTAGGCCTTGCTCCCTTGTTGACTGAAGGTTGAACAGGGACCTTCAGCTGAACCATCTCACATCCCATCATCATGCTACCCCGTGTCTGCGGGGGGGATCCTGGTGTGTGTGTGTGTGTGTGTGTGTGTGTGTGTGTGTGTGTGTGTGTGTGTGTGTGTGTGTGTGTGTGTGTGTGTGTGTGTGTGTGTGTGTGTGTGTGTGTGTGTGTGTGTGTGTGTGTGTGTGTGTGTGTGTGTGTGTGTGTGTGTGTGTGTGTGTGTGATGAAGGATGGCCTCAGGCTGAATCTGCCTCTCCAAACAATAAGGCCATCTGCTTTGTGTCCCTGCTGCCAAACTCTGAGCCGACCTCCACCTGCTCTCTGTTCTTCTTTACTGCCAGCTCACCTCCTTATCCCCCCCTCCATCATTCCTAGTCCTGTATCCTTCTTTATATGTTCCTATATCATGTTAAGTTGTTCTTGTCTGAAGATCGCATATTCAAATTTGCAATACGAAATGTGATTGAGCGTTTTAATGAAAACCAGACTTTTTCTGATCATTAAAGAACTTTTCTTCATGATATAGAAACACAATCAATCTTTCCATTTGTAATTCTTGTCGTGTCAAAATGATCTTCCAGGTTATTATATTTGATGTAAATTGGTGTGTGAGCTACATTATTGATTAAACTAAGACCATTACATTTTTAAAAAGGCTTTGAGTCCTCCAACATTTACCTGCAAGGCACAAGAGTGGGAATATGCTTTCTATGTGTTATCTAAAAAGACATGGGAAACAGTTTCTACACATAGTAACAGTTTAGAGTGAGTGATCAGCAATTCTTCTGAAAAACATATTTGATTTTAGAGTGACTGCACAATAAAATTCAATATTATGTCTAAAACTGCTACTTAATAAAACGCATTGTCCCCAGGCATTATAATTAAACTGTGAGCCGGGACAGTTTCACTCCAAACCATGCAGGATTCCCTTAGTGTGCATCAGACCACAAACACAGAGGGAGGACGTGTGATCTATAATAATCACTACAGAGAGCAGTCTAAGTGTGTGTTGCTCTTTAGAAAGATATACATTTGAGGGACAGTTCTTCTTTTCCTTTATACATTTTATTGAAAATAGTGATCTGGAACCTTCCAAAACCACTCCAGACGCACCCTTTTTAAAAAAAATACTTATCTACTTTTACTTGGAATTAACGACCTTCACATTTCTACATCAACTTAAGTAGAGGGTTTCAGTCCTTCTTCCACCTCTGACGGCCATATTCTTTACATTTTGTGTGACTCTATGCATGAAAATGATGTAACTTAGTATAAAAAGTAACATATTGTGTGTGTTATGTGTGTCTCTCAGTGACAGGGTTCCCGTACCCCAGCACAGGAGCAGCTGTGGCCTACAGAGGTGCCCATTTGAGAGGGAGGGGTCGCGCCGTCTACAACACGTTCCGTGCTGCACCCCCTCCTCCACCCATCCCTGCCTATGGAGCGTGAGTGACTGCTCACACACACACACATACACACACACACACACACACACACACACACACACACACACACACACACCTTGAACACTACAACAACACACATAATTAAATAAACAGTGTATGAAACGTCTCCAAGACTGAAAACATGCTACTGCAAAAATTGAATTGGAGTTACTCAAACACATAAGCCAACACACACACACACAGTAACAGAAAAGTGGTGAGAGGGAAAACAAAAAGGCTGCCTTCTAATAGAGCGGAAAATTGCTGTTTGATTCGAGAATGGCCAAATTTGTCTCTCTTTTTTCTAATGTGTCGTTTTTTATTCGGCTGTGAATGGACTGCTGTGACCTGCTCAGCACACTCCAGTGGGCCCGCTGCAGGGGGGGCGAGAGACCTAGTGAAATGAGAGGGTCAGACATGAAGAGAGAGAAGGAGACTAAAGGAGCGTGCTGCGTTAGAAAGAATCCAATGAGATGAAGAGGGGGAGGAAAGGCAGGAGGATGAGGGTAGAGTAATGAATGAATGGTGCTGTTTGACCACATGGAGCTCCTGAATTAGTCATTAATTGTGCTGATAATACATGTTTTTTTATTTTATTCAGCCGTTTGTATTTGAAACTAAATCACATGTTTCTTTAGGGTTAATGTTAGTGGTTAAGGGTAATTCATTGATTAAAACATGACTGGAAATGTGTTGTGCTGCTTGGTTTCAATGTGATTTAGCTTCAAACTGAGCAATATGTAGATTGGTAGTTTCCGTCTAGAAGGCGTAGTCAAAAACTAACTTCTCATACCGTTTCTACTTTGATGTCTCCGGCATTTCTCTGAAAAGTAGAAATATTTCAAACTCAAAGCGTGCACAAAGAAATGGCAGATTGCTCAGAAAAACGACGTTGAATGCAGCGCTCCTTACTTCAATGCCTTACATCTTCTGTCCACAGTGTGGTCTACCAGGATGGCTTTTATGGTGCAGAAATATATGTAAGTAAAACAATTTTATAAGCATTTTTATTAATTCTTCACAAAGTTATTCACTATAACAAAACTGTTTGTTACTGAGTGTCAACATATGCTTTACCTTGTCGTATGTGCGCCTTCACTTTGGTGGATCTCATGCTTCTGATTCAAGGTGGTATTGAATCTGTTGTCTATCCTCAGGGCGGGTATGCAGCGTACAGATATGCCCAGCCAGCTGGTACTGCTGCAGCTGCGTACAGTGACAGGTATGTTGGCTGTTTACTTCTGAGTGTCACTAAAAAGTACTCTAAAAGTAGTGTTTACATCTTCATAATAGTGACTAGTTGCATTTCAACATTACTTTTGAGGGTATCCCTTACCTCAGCTGCCTCAAAACCCTACCAGGAATGTATTGATCGGTGGATGGTCAGTTTAAAAACCTTCTCACGCACTAAAAGAAGGGAAACCCGACATTGAATGTTGTGACGTCTTGTAGAGAAACAATAGAGACTGAAAACTGTAAATGTTGTGTGTTAATAGCAGCAGTAGCTTCTTTAGATGTAATCTCTTTTTGAATGCAGTTTGATCTAATAGAAGCAGGTATAACACATATAATAGTCTGGTGCCAGAATGAGTCCTAAAACCCACAAAGTTAGTGTAAGGGAAACTTCTGCAGCAATGGAGAGTCAGGACTCAGAGAGACACGAGGAGAGTGGGAGCTTTGATGTCAAACACTGGTGTTTTATTACAAGTATTGGCCGGAGAAATTCACATCACAAGTCACAGCAGCCAGAGGTTCTGACTGCACTGGTGGGTTGCCATGTCAATTCTGACCAGCCTCTCTCTCGATACACCTTTTAACTAGCTTACAGAGAGTTAATCAACAGCTGGGAGTATCTAGGAGTAAAGACAGAAATATTCCCTCACAGATAGCATTTCCCTTTTTCAGTTCCCTTGACTTAAAGTCAACAGTTTTTTGAACATGTTTTTGGTTAGAAGACTAAATTAAGGTCTGTGGTTAACTCAAGCTTAAGAGATGTTTGCGTTATGTTATACATATATATATACACAACATGATAACAATACATTAGTGAATACCCCACTGGTGAACATCTTTTTTTCTTTTGCCGTTTTGAAAGAATTATATTCTATTTTGGAGAAGGTACTCTCCCAACATGAGACATGACGAACCATGAGTGACATAACTGTACGGAGAATTGCCAAACTGGCCATTGCAGCAGCGGCAACAAATAATTCAAAAACATTGTTAGTCGTGTAAACAGCACACAGCAGAAATAAAAGTGACGGAAAGCACGGAGAAAGGGCCCACAGTGAAATCCAGGAGTTCACTTTTTTATGATCCCACACCCACTGAGCCAAAGAACAAGTGAGAGCTGCTGCAGCTAATGCAAGCTCAAAAACAACCATAGTGGTTCTTGTGGGTGCTCCCCAGTCGGCAGTTAGGGAGTACCCATGACAGTTTGGTCATATAAACGCCTATTTCCATTCTGTAGATTACATGTCAATAAGCTGATGTTTTTCAATACACCACAGACATGCCCACCAGAGAAATGTGGGTATCTTGACCACGAACATGTTGACTTCAGTGGCTTGAACCACTGACCCTCTAATTGGTAGATGCCCATTTACCTCCTGAGCCACAGCCGCCTGTAAACAGCCCAATAACCTCCCTACGGAGACTCACCTGTAGAATAGTACTCGGGGAAACTTGATCCACTCCACCTTTGGATTATCATTCCCCTCAGAGCTAAATGTTTCTCCCTCACCTCTGATCGCTTACAGAGGGTCCAATCCAGCCTGCGGGATGACTTTGCAAAGTGTAACATTTACAGAGAAGACATAAGCTGCAATTTACACAACTTTTATGTATTTTGTATGTATGCATTTTATAAATGAACAAGGCAGGGGGATAACTTCTTCCTTAATAGGTCACACTTTAATGTGTATGCTGGTGTGTCAGTTCAATGTCAAATCATTTCTACATCTTGACAAGCTGTTTGGATCATAAAGTGAAATACTACATTGTTCGGTTTCAGATAACAGTGACTTAATATGTATGTAGATACACTGCGATATGTAAGTTGTAATGATAAACCGAGGCATTGAAATGGCACAGATGTTTCTTAAGAAATGTCAGGTTTTTTATAACGTTTTGTGAAAAGATAGTTCATTAAATGTGAACATTTTCAGAATGTACTTTTTTGCACTAAAAGAAAGGGAACAACTTGGAATTGTTGTTATTTATATGTTATTATGCTATGATTGTAACGGTCCTGCCCTTTTTGAGATCAGATTTGGCTGTATGTGGCCCCTGAGCTAAACTGAGTTTGAGACCCCTGTTCTAGTGTGTTTGCCGTCTAGATGTGTGTGTATGCTTGGAGAGCTAATCTTAGGGAGATTGAGCATGTCAGACCTGATAAGAAACAGCCACAGCGGTAGCCTGTAGGCCTCCGATAATGTACGATTTATCAGAGGCAAGGAGCAAGCGATGTGCTCGGGGGGATTATGAACGCAGCGGAGAAGAGGTGAGAGGGCACGTCTCTCAACAAGACCTATTTAATTCCCTTTCTTTCCTCCTCTCACACATTCCCTCCTTCTCACTCTTACCGTTATTCATACTCTCGTTGTGGCTGATGTTTAGTATAACTCTCCCCGCTGTGTCTCTCTCATTCTTTTTTTTATAAGCCCTCCTGAATTAAAGGGAAGCCCAGGCAGAGAGGTGGAGTTCAGAGCAGAGGGGGTGGAGGTGGAGGAGTTATATTTATTGGGGGATAAGAGAGGTTTTGTAGGGAGTGCCTCTATACTGTCCCTTTAGACACACACAGGCTACCACTGTCTACATTTAAAGGTACGAGGAAGCAAAAAAGGCAACCAGGACTGACCATCACCATCAAGTTATTAATCTTCCATCATTTCAATCAAACATACGAAATACTATTCCAGGTACTGTGAAACAAGCAACTGCTTTTACCTTTTGACTTTTCATGGTATGGATAAAATCCTAGAAATTTAAACTGAAACCCTTAAATAAAAGTGTCTCCATGGGTGTGGGTGTTAAAGGTCAATGCTAGTGAGATTTGTTCACACCAGGAAGAAGTGATCGTGCTAAAGTTGGCTAGCATAGTGGTTTGACAGTGGCACCTATTTTAAAATGAAATAAATACATGTATATAAGCATACGTTTAAGTTTAAAAATTGCAATAAAGGTCCTTGTAGCCACAGGGACAAAGCTTCTGAGGCTCAGGAATGAGGCAGGAGGTTTTCCACAGCAAAGGGACCCTCACATGCTGAAGTAATGGTGAAGCATCGATGCAATCCTTGTCGAGCCAAACACTCCTGAAGCCATCAAAAGAAATGTAGCTGATGGAAACGTTGTCGGAACAATCCGGAAGCCATTGATGGATACGTTGTTGTCAGATATATCCTGGATTCAGCCATGTTTCCATAAAGCAAAATAAACTACATTCCATATATTTCGTCTGAGCTAACCCCGTTAGCTCCTCCATTATTAGCTTACGTTGCCCATGAAGACAGGGCGAAGACACAGAATATATCTCCTTTTCTCGATACATTCGGTCCCAGCTTTCCTCTTCGTCTCTTTGGTTTATCCCTGATTTCAGTGTGGATAGCCGATGTTCCGACCACCATGCTAGCCACCTTTAGCACAATCGCTACAAATCGCTACAAAGCAACAAATAGTACTAGCTTGGAACACTCACACCCATGGAGACAGTATTTTTTTTGGGGTTTCAATTTCTAGGATTATATCCATACTTTGAATAGTCAAACATAAAAGCCGTTCTTGTTTTACAGTCCCTGAATATGTCATTGTTCTCTGACTTCTAAGCAGCTTTATGTGTTTGTGTTTATTTAGGGAAATATGTTGTACTATTTCCACAGAAAGAGTGAGTTGCACTGATTGAACAGATTGAACCTAGACTAATCCAGAAATGATAGCAACTGATCATTGATGGAAACATATTTTTCAGCCGTTAACTTCCTTCCTTCCTCCTTCCATTTACGCCCAGCTCCATCCTTCCCTTGGTTCTCCCTCTGTAACACATGGTGGTGCATCCCCGCAGCCTCTTATCTTTGCCCTCCAGACCTACATTGGCTTCCCTTTTTCTTTTAGAGGAGAATAAACAAACCAGACAGGAATAGAGGAATATAAATAAAGCAGTCTGGTGGCATCAGAGAAGGAGGGATGGAGAGTTGGAATGAGAAAAAGAGAGGGACATGGAGGATTAGTTCCAAGCCAGTGCTGGTGAAAAGACTGGAAATAAGCCCCAAGAGACAAAAAGAGAGACAAATGCGGAGATGGCAGTTAGAGGGGAGGAAGAGGTGAAGAAGAAGATGGCACAAGGGGAAAAGGTGTGGGACACCAGCAGAGAGAAGAACTGGCTCTCACCATAATGATGTTCTTCTTTTTTTGTCCCCTACCTTTCCCTTCAAAAATATTTTCGTCTTCACAAACCCATATATGTTTCCCAATCCCAAAGGATGATTTTTCTAATTGTTCTCCTTGTTCATAATCTTATTGCTCCCCCCGTTCAGCCATCTATCTGCCCAATTCTTTTTTCTTATCTTTCTCTTATTCGGGCTGATGTTACTTTTATCGCAATCCCTCCCCATCATCTGGAAGATAAAACCTTTGTCTCATAAATTGAAACGGGTAAAACAAATCATTGCAATCACACACTCTCACCTTTACAACGTACATTTATAGGGAGACATCGATTGCATTTTCATCCAATAGGCCTGTTCTTAGCGTGAGTGAGAGGAGGAAATGATTATAGATCTCTCCTCCGGACCCCAGTTAAAATCGACGACCTAATACCTTATGTGTCTCATGCATACTCATTGTGGCCGGTTGGCACTCCCTATCCATTATCAGGCCTATTCCATCAAAGCCAACATGCACAAGGTTTATGTCTGGTGGTTGGAGTTGGGGAAAGGGGAAACAATTAACAGAGTATTTCCCAACTGATTAAATTCTCCTTTGATTTGTACTGGTCCAAATAATCTATATAGTTTTATGTTTGGGGCATAAGTCAAAATGTCACTCTGATCATAAATCTGCTGCTCTAACTAACTCCATAGCTGCCAAGCTGTCTGTATCTGTTGGGAGTTATTCACATCATTAAATAAAGTTAGGAATAACATTTAGATCTCTACATTTAAAGAGTCCTCTCCTGCTGATGTTCAGGTGTATATCAGTATGTAGTGTCTCTACTTTAAAGAGTCCTCTCCTGCTGATGTTCCAGGTGTATATCAGTATGTAGTGTCTCTGCTTTAAAGAGTCCTCTCCTGCTGATGTTCAGGTGTATATCAGTATGTAGTGTCTCTACTTTAAAGAGTCCTCTCCTGCTGATGTTCAGGTGTATATCAGTATGTAGTGTCTCTACTTTAAAGAGTCCTCTCCTGCTGATGTTCAGGTGTATATCAGTATGTAGTGTCTCTACTTTAAAGAGTCCTCTCCTGCTGATGTTCAGGTGTATATCAGTATGTAGTGTCTCTGCTTTAAAGAGTCCTCTCCTGCTGATGTTCAGGTGTATATCAGTATGTAGTGTCTCTACTTTAAAGAGTCCTCTCCTGCTGATGGTCAGGTGTATATCAGTATGTAGTGTCTCTGCTTTAAAGAGTCCTCTCCTGCTGATGTTCAGGTGTATATCAGTATGTAGTATCTCTACTTTAAAGAGTCCTCTCCTGCTGATGTTCAGGTGTATATCAGTATGTAGTGTCTCTGCTTTAAAGAGTCCTCTCCTGCTGATGTTCAGGTGTATATCAGTATGTAGTGTCTCTACTTTAAAGAGTCCTCTCCTGCTGATGTTCAGGTGTATATCAGTATGTAGTGTCTCTACTTTAAAGAGTCCTCTCCTGCTGATGTTCAGGTGTATATCAGTATGTAGTGTCTCTACTTTAAAGAGTCCTCTCCTGCTGATGTTCAGGTGTATATCAGTATGTAGTGTCTCTACTTTAAAGAGTCCTCTCCTGCTGATGTTCAGGTGTATATCAGTATGTGGTGTCTCTACTTTAAAGAGTCCTCTCCTGCTGATGTTCAGGTGTATATCAGTATGTAGTGTCTCTACTTTAAAGAGTCCTCTCCTGCTGATGTTCAGGTGTATATCAGTATGTAGTGTCTCTACTTTAAAGAGTCCTCTCCTGCTGATGTTCAGGTGTATATCAGTATGTAGTGTCTCTACTTTAAAGAGTCCTCTCCTGCTGATGTTCAGGTGTATATCAGTATGTAGTGTCTCTACTTTAAAGAGTCCTCTCCTGCTGATGTTCAGGTGTATATCAGTATGTAGTGTCTCTACTTTAAAGAGTCCTCTCCTGCTGATGTTCAGGTGTATATCAGTATGTAGTGTCTCTACTGGAACATCTCTCCATGCTTTAATGTTCAAAAAGCTCTCTATTGTTCTCATACTGCCTGTGCTGCAGCACCTCTTTTCACCCTCTGTCTGAAACCAGAGCCCAGTCTGCTCTGATTGGTTAGCTGGCTGGCTCTGTTGTGATTGGTCAACAGCTTAGAGATGTCCCGCCCCTTAGCCTATCAAGTTCAATGTATTGGAGCGCTAGCCAATAGAAGTGCATAGTGATGTCACCATGTTACAGAAGTAAACAAAGGAGTCCAATGGAGGCATTTCAAGCAGGGGGGGGGGGACTCAGGTATTTTAGCCTAGCAGATCATTCACATGCACAACAACCTAAAGAACACACTACAGGAAAAGAAAACCCCAAAAGCATAATAGGGCCCCTTTAAAGTTTTCAAATACAATTCAAACTAATTGTGTTTTGAATGTAAACCCTCCACCTGGAACCATACTTAGAACTGTATCACCACATATCATTGGTGTTGGATGCATTGATCTATAACCTTTATACATTTGTTTTAACGTTCAGATTCCTTGGTGCACCATTCTTTATACAAATACCGTATGTAAGATTTGACAGAAGTCTGCTGTTTGCTGCTGTGGTTACCTTAAGGATACTTAAAGGTTACAAGAAACCGACAAGATGTAAAGATAGTAGAGAGTCAGGGGTGCTGTAGGAGCCCACAACCCAAATCTGCCCAACAGCCCTCTTTCAAGCTGATCCACCCCTGCCTTCATATTGTAGCAAATGGACTTTGAGACAAGACAGGGGGCAGAGGGTTTTTTTGTGTGTGTTGTTGCACAGTTTCTAACATTTTGCCCCTTTCTGAGTGAGTTATTCGAGTCAAACATTGTGCAATTCCCATACAGACAATGATGTTTGAAATATATCTGAATGGTGATTATTTACATTTGTCTGTCAAACATCACAAAGTGTATAACTAATTCTCATGGTGAACCCTTTTTCTGCATGTTTTCTTCTTTGTAGTTATGGCAGAGTCTATGCAACAGCAGACCCATATCACCATGCGATTGGTCCTGCTGCTACCTACAGTGTGGGGACTATGGTGAGTGTTTCCTGCTTCGTAGCTGCTGACTGTCCGACTAATGTGCAATACTGAATGTGGTGAGATGAACTGGAGCTTTTTCAGCATCCAGAAACTTGCAAATGGATGTTTAACTTTACAGGAGACACATTTGACATGAAAACAAAATGTTCTGGTCCATATATGTGAGCTACTGAACTAAATGAACTGCTAATTGTAAATTAATAACTTAAATCAGATCATCTGCTAACGCTATTATATTGTATAGGTTTTTTTGACGCTTTGTTTCTCCTATGTGTTGTGTCTCCTCTGAGAGACCCATTTTAATAATGTTTAATGTGAATCTTTGCCACTTCAGTGAATGTTATTCTCAAACTCCCCATCCAATTTGATTGGCTGTAAGCTACTTGCTTGAAATCCAATTGAGACTGAGAGTTCCTCCCAAAGCGGAAAAAAAAACAGTCTCTTCAAATTTTGCAAAGGGAGATGGGTTGAATAGTTAATGTTTGTGTTTAGCTAGCTTTGCAGCTAACATCAAAGATGAAAACTGAAAGTACAATTTGTTTTATTGCGTGGGTGTGTGTAGGGATTTCCTCCAAAGATTAACGACCATCCAGTAAATGCTTTGACGTGCCACGGGAGATTAAAGTAGGAGAGAGAGATGGATCACAAATGGAGGAAAATAGGGGAAAGAGGGAGAATGAGAGTTCTTGGTAGCAAACCAATTGCATCTGAAGCTGCTGCTTGGTGCACAATGTTGGACGGATGAGATAAGGGTTGATGCTAAGTGCTGACGTGCTTGTGATGATGGAAGTGGAAAGCCCTACCATCTCCCCCATGTGTAACCGAAACAACCCCCCCCCCTCCCCTAGAGCAGCTGCTAGCTAAAAGCCTTCATTAATTACCACATTCTTTCCTCTTCATTTACTTAATTTAAAAAGTGGCCTCTGTTTTCCTCCTTATTACATTTTATTATTTTTTCTCTTCAAATGACTCCTCCCTTTTTCGCCCTCCTCCTATAGCCAATCTTCTCACTATTAATGTTTTCCTAATATTCAATGTATCTTAAACTTTTTGATGGGCATATTGTGAACTGTAGCCTCAACCAAAACCTTATAAGACCAAATCGGGTGTCAGGTCTAGTTGTGATTCTAAGGTAGAATGATGGGTTGGATGAGTACGCTATTGTTCCCCAAAATGAATCCACACCATCTTGCCTTGTGTGGTTTGGTCTAAAAATCCTCTACATAAAGGGAACCAAGTTGTTGCTATGTATAGAGTTTCAGATGTATGCAGGATTCAACATTATGGGATGGAGTTGCCTGACTCCTGTGGAAATATGTAAGGAATCTGGTTGCAGGCTTAGTGGACACGGCTGAGTTATAAATCCTGGAGTAGGTGTAGGTGTGATGCTACGGATGGGTGTGATTTAACGGAGTGGATTTGTTCATAAAAGGCTATTGTTGATATGAATGAGGTGGCAGGAATCTTTAACACAGTGTTATCAAGGGTCAAGTATCGTACAAATCTATCCATATTTGACAATTCTAAACTTCACAAGTTCGGTCCAATGCCGACATTTGTTTTCAATGCACAAAGTGGTGTGTTGTTTTTGTAGGGAGATAGCGAGTCAAATCGAGCTCTCATGCAAAAGACCAGAGTCTGATGTCCCATCAGTGAGATAGAATTGTAACGCTCACCTTCCATTTAATGTTAACCATAATCTTTTCCTAACCTTAGCCTTACTAAGTCTGCTTGAGCCTAGAGGCTCAAAGTTACATCAACTGATAAAGACAAAAAAAGATGTTCCCATACAACAAAACTGCATTGACAATTACACATCAGAGGATATGTTGTTCTTGATATATCACACATATGTTTCCAGTGCAGACTCTGTGTCAGAGTGGGTGGATTTGTCAAACTAATATTTAGCATAATAAACATACATATTTTTAATCAGATCAGCATCCGTTTAACCAAACCAAGTCATTTTGTGCCAATTCAGAACATTAACGTGTTTAAAACAAATACTTGGGTTACCTTGAAACGTTTTTGAGAATGCAGTTTTGTTGAATGGAAACGTTATTCTGACAGGGATGGGATAACACACCTGCATCTCTTGAAATCTTTATTTTCTAACTGTCAAATCGACAATGTTATGACAATATTTAACATGAGTATAATGCTAGACATGTGGGGTACTATTTTAATCGTACCTTTTCATTATACCTGGATATTGTGGATAGTAGGATATTTTAGTTTTGCGTATTGGATGTTGTCATTGAATATGATCTGAGGTTGGAAGAATCGTCAAATATGTACGTCCTTATCTGGCAATAAGAGTGTTCCAGACACAGTTGTATTTACAGTAAAGCCAGGACGGTTTGAATGCAAAGTGTTGAGAGCATTGTTTGTTGTAATGATTTGGTTGTGGATTCACTGGGGAGCTTGTTGTATGGCAAATGTGTGGCAGGCTTAATGCCAAGTAGCAGTTTTAGGGTCGCTAATGTTTCATTCAAACATTATTAGAATGGCAAAAAAGCTGAACGTTTTGCAGACACCACTGTCAGAAATTACTACTTTCAAAATGTAGCTTGTAATGTTTCCTTGCCAATGTATTAATTAAACAAAAAACGATTGGAAAAAGGGAGGAACGTTTCTTTGGAGGAAAGAGAGAAGTTAATTTTTAATAATAGTATTACAAAGGTTCTACATTGAATACTGATTGGAGCTTTTTCATCTTTGATGTTGCAGGCTAGCCTTTACAGAGGAGGGTGCAGTCGCTTCACTCCCTACTAGAAAGAGAGAGACACGCCCCATTTGCTCTCCCGCAAAACAGACACTCAAAAAACAGCAACAAATGAAATGCCTAAATGATCATCTTCACTCTCTTCATGGAAAAAAAAAAATGCTTCCAGGTGACAAATGGGACCATGAACTGCAAATCACTCTCAAGTTGCTTCCCTATGTTCAGAGTGTCTCATTGTCATTTATTGATGTAATGTATCTTTTTTTTTTAAAGAAGATTTTGTTACCCTTTTGTTTTGACTTGAATGTATTTGCATTGACATGTCTGTATAGTGTTAATAGACAACAACTGTCAATGTAGACAAACTGTAGTCTCGCTCCTTCTCACTCTTTGGACCACAACTCTCTTAGGGGTGGCTTTTTGTGCTTCTTTTAATTCCATCCTATTTCCCTACCTTCATTGTTTCAATAACTCCTTTTCCCCATATAGGTTGCCTGCTCAGAGCTTTATTGTGAACCCGGAAGTGTTGAGTACCTCTACATTTTATGTTAGAAATGTAAAGTACAGTTCCCCAGCACGTAGAAACTGCCGAATGCTAACATGTATATGTTAAACAATTTGCACAATTGGCATAAGTTGCCTTAATTAGCATTAATTAGCATTATAGCCAATGTGTTAAATGGCTATAGTTAAAAATGGCTTGGCCGATTTGGAACATTTTTGAGGGGTTACTGAGGATGCTTAAAGCAATTTTGACATTTTAAGAATCAACATTGGCGGTTTTAACCATAAAGTGGCCATATTTGTACTGATGATGGACTGATTTTGATACATTTTGGGTCGATTTGAAAGTTTTAGGGGATCATTTGGATTGGACAGATTGCTTATCTACAGTATTTAAAAATAAATTGTCAACAGTAGAGGTAATCAATTTCATTTTGAGCTCTTTATATCCAATGGTCGCAACACTAATGGTAGTCAAAATCAGCCTGATAATGGAAGAAATGGATTCAGCATCCTCACTAACCCCCAAAACCACTCCGAAATTGTCCAAATCTGCCAAGCCATTTTGTAACTATTGTCCATGTGGGCTATAACGCTAATTAATGCTAGTTAACTCAACGTATGCTACTTGTGCAAATTGCTCAACATTATGCATGTTGTCATCCGGCAGTTTCAATGTGCTGGGGACCCGTACTGTACATTTCTAACATAAAACATTGGCCTACTCAACATTTCTGGGTTCACAGTGATGGCAACTAGAATTATATACATTAAAATGTTCAGCAATTCCAGTTTGGACAGCACATGGCACATTGGATTAATTAAATAAATGATACAGCCATTCCACCCCTTAGAGAACTGGCTCAATTCTAAGTGAGCCAATAGAGCTGATTTTCAGCCTGACCCAATGGGACTCACACCTAATGGTGAAACTGCTACCAGGAAGTGATGCATTTTATAACCTAGAAGGTGAGAGGAGGAGCGTGATGTATTACCGAATCTGAATGCATGAGGAAGTGATGTATAGCAGGGTGTGATGCAAGAGCTATGGCAGCCATTGTCAGAATAGGCAGCCGTGTGAGCCCATTGATCGTTGGCATAGTGCCAGAGGCAGGAGGTATCCCATTACTGCTGAAAAGCTTTATAGGAGAAAACAACATTCTTTTCTCACTCTCATCACGTCCAGCACATACCAAGCAATAATCCTATATTTGATCTATACCCATATATGGAGGAATACTGATACATAGTTTTGACTCCATAGTGAACAGATGGAAGACTATGAGAATTTAGTTTTAAAAAGACATCTCATGATCATTGGTGTGCAGAACAATATAAAGTATACTAAAGGATGTCGCGAACACGTTTACCAGGCTAACTTGTTAGCCATAACAATTGTCTACACAAACACCCACAAAACAGAGATACACAATATTATTAATTTGTCATTTGTGTCCACCTCGTGAAAAAAGTCAGACTTTCCCACTCCTTTTAGCTCTGGTTTGGTCTACAATAGGCTGGTGACTGAATTGCATTTAGTTTCACCCTATTTTTCCAGTTAGCTACTTTCTTGGCATCAAATTTCAAATCAAATTTCTTGGCATAGCTAATAATAACTTTTGAACCCAGTGATATCTAACGTTAGCGAACATCTAAACGTGTCACCCTAATTCAAATTAAAACAATTTGATTCTTGCAATTCAATCAATTTGACCGATTCAATTCAGCAGATTCTGATTCAGATACAATACGTTTTACCATTTTACTATTACTATCACCTTCTATATGTTTACCAGATCATGAAATACCTCTGAAAACTAAACACATGTTGAGTATGAAACAGATACATCTTCATTGTCTACTGTTCGATTAGAGGCAAAAGTTAAAGGGAAAATAAGTTATCGGGCGTCTATCGATATAAGTTTTCTTTTTATATAAATATTAAGTAAGCTTTACACATTTCTTTGGATTTGTTTATTGTTAGCATTGACAGTGGATTACTGTAGGAGCTTCACTGGAGGTTATTGTTTTGGTATAGATTGGCTGAAATGGAGACAGGTGTAGATCCAGGGAGGAAACCGTGCTGTGTCTCCGTATCGATTCCTCTCTGTCTCAGTCATCTGTCTTTGCTCTGAGGAAACAGACTTGTGATGTTCTCCTTCACCCACACATTCAGGCCATCACTTTGGGTGTAAAGAAAAACAAGGATATATAGATCCCAAAATGCAAGCAATACAAAATATTACAAGCACCACATATTAGAAACACACAATAGAGCATAAATCAAAATGTTTTATATAGTTTCAGCTACAGTCTGGAATAGTCGCACGTCACTAAAAACCAAACTGGTTTAAACTAGTATGTAGGAGTACTAGTTCATTGTTTTAGTAATTTCAGTACAATCTTAGAAATAGAATACAACAACATTTCCTGCTGTTGGCACAAAGACAAATCGCTAATGACAGGGATTTTAAGAATTACAAAGTAAGATAACAAAGGGGGAAAAGGATGAGAAGCCCAGTGTTGGAAGTGTAACATAAGACAATGTAAAAATTAAATAAGTAGCTTGATAAACACCAAAAAACGCCAATTTCTTGACCAACTGAACAAATAGATATTGAGTTATGGATGTTCTGCACTTGGGGCTTGCTTTTTAATCATTAAAACAAATTAGAATTCCATTAATGTACAATGACCTTTAACCCTGTATCATGCATTGAACACAAGTACAGGGTTCATCTGAATTAGTTAAATGTGTCCAAATTCATGCAAGAGGAAATGATCTTGTATTGAAATTCACAGCTTGCATGTTTCAAATGTAATAGGACAGGCCCCAGAGCAGCCCGAGACAAAGTGATGTTAATTCATTTAAATAATTTCAAAGATATGTAAACGGAAGTCTGCTTAACAACCTATTATGTCGTGCCACAATTAACCAGAAAGTCCTACGTTTACCTTTAAAAGCATGAAACATACACGTAAACCAACATTGTGGTATCATTAGATAACTATCAGCAATGTCATTTTTACATCACTCACCAAAGTGTTACTGTTAATGGCAAATAAGACAAAGTTTAGAAAAGAATACATGCATTGGTTTTGTCATGTATCCACTTCAGGAATTGACACATGAACACATATGCTAGTCCACAGGGATACAGCTCCTTCAATTTACTGAGAGGAAATGTGGGTATGAATCATTAACTTGAAGCTGATATCAGTCGGATATATTAGCAAACGAATGGTCTGGTCCCAACATGCACTGCCTGAAATGCTGAGGAGACATATGCTAAGAGCAACCCTCCCTTATTCGCCCAAGCATTCAGCTACCCACCAATCTCACTCACTCTCACACAGCTACACACACACACACACACACACACACACACACACACACACACACACACACACACACACACACACACACACACACACACACACACACACACACACACACACACACACACACACCACACACTTCCCCACCAGTAAGTAGCATCTGGGCCTGCTGTGTCTGATGGGATCGTAAAGAGGGGAGTCAGTAGCGCAGGAAGAAAGAGAAGAAGCAACCGAGGCAATTTACCCCGCAGATTAGAGATAAGAGAGTTCAGTCAATAAGCACTGATCTCATTTGAAGATATACCAGTCTGACTAGACTCTCTCTCTCTCACACACTCTCACACACACACACACGTGAGCATTCACACTAGTTGGTCTATTGCTATCACTGCTGTGTGTCTGCAGACTGTCTTTTCTTCGGTTCTCTTGCTTCAACGAGGATAAGGCCATTGTAAATATTTCCCCACACGTTTGCATTGTTCCTGCATTATTATACACGATATAGTTCATATTTACCAAATCCAATGTAAAAAGAAAAAAGTCCTGCTGCCCTGAATATTCACAACAAGATCGCACCACATCGGGATTATTCCGCCACTGAAAATAGTAGCCAACAAATATTCTATTTCCTTATGTTTTAGTAACATCTGTTAATAAATACTTTAGGAAATTACCAAACCTGGTTGTTCTATTTATGTTTGAGTCACTTTTAGGGAATACATTTACAGAAACAACCAACGCTAGTGGCCCGGAGGTTTAGAGAAGTCACACTGTATTTTGGTTCTGTCTGATTTGAATATATTATGATATATATTCAAATTATATAAAACACATAATAAAGGTCCTGCGGAAAAGCTTAAAACTTGACCAAGTGTGCTTCATTGTTCATTGTACATTCAAAGCTGGTTCACTCCTATCCACATAACATGCTTTACGTATTCTATAGAGTGGAATGTACTTTCAGCGGTGTTGGGATACTGCTTTTCCTAATCCTTCATGTAAATAAAGATGTTTTTCTTTGATCCATTGCTCTTCCATGCACTTTGCTATTTTAAATGTATGTTTGTATTAAGGTTCTGAATGTCATTTCCCATTTGTGCATCATAAAAGACGTGTAATAGCATAGTATGTATTGTTGTTATTAGGTTATTACGTAAAGAAGAAGAAATATATTTCAAAAGAGAAAAAGCATATGATATTATGATTAGGTGTTAGACAACGGCAACATTTTGTATAACAAGAAAAGGCTTTGTCACTGTTTTGGTTTTTTACAAGGTCTTTCCGTGTGTCTGTGGTCACATACTGTGTGAGTCTCTAAAGCAATGTTTCCTGAATGACCTCTACATCTCCTGCTTTGGGGCAAGACACGTTATTTCTTTATCTGCTGCCCTTCTGTTTGTTTGATCTGGTTTCAGTTGGGGAAATGGAGAGCACAAATTGAAACGACTGTCTGTCTGTTTCTAGGTTTTATGACATCTCTAAAACACCAAGTCTGTGCTGAGGGATAAAGCAGTGTGCCATTAATGTGGAACAAAGATAGGGGAGTGAGTGTCTATAAAGTGAGACAGGTTTCTCTTTTCCCTTTATCCTCACGAAAAAATTGCCTTCATAAATAAAAGCTAACCTCAAATGATTCTATATGATTTTCAGCTTATGTTGGCATGATCCACAGAGCAAGAGCTTACTCTTCTCTCTGTTGGTTTTCTTACGGCTTTTACAAGGTTTTCACCTGTTAACGTTTATTAAGGCAGCTACTACAGTAATGTGATTAAGATGCAGCTTGTAGTTACATCTATATGTAGCTTTCTCCTTCCTCAACCCTGACATATAAGGGGTGGACAATATAACTTCAAATGCACCTATAAGGACTTCACAGAGAGTTATCAGTCACTAGAGCTTTAGCTAGCATGTGAGCAGTAGTATATGCCAAAAGTCTAAAGAACCACGGACCATGCTTCTGCACATACAGAAGATGAACCTGCGTTAGGGTCATTCTGAGAAATGTGATACCTGGACCCTACCCCACATTTCAAACCTTCCTGGAACAACTAATAAGCTAGTTTAGAGCAAAGGACTGTTTAATCTGTAGCTTAGATGTGGTGCTGTGTGTGCTTCTTCTCCTAATGGTATGAATGGTATTTGCTGAAAAATGTAATATATTTCAGTTTGAAACAATCACGCAAAGACTATTATAAACCAAAATGCAAGAGAAGATAAATGTTGACACTGAATAGTAGAGTGATATACAAAATGTGTTGGTGCCCCGTGCGAGCCCAAACTTGTATTACCTAAACTTAGTAACATCACACCACGTATTTCACTTATGGAACAAATGTAGGCTTTTTATTTTAACCCTAACCAAAATATTTCCGTTAACCTAACCAACTACTTTAGGGTAATTAAGTTGTCATCATCAGGGGCAGTTGGGTATTAGCTAGCATCACACACACCAAGCTTCACGCAACTGTGAGTCAAATAGTAAAGGAAACACAATTCCAGTGGAACCTTCAGTCTAACTTGTGGGTGCTTCAAAGATTTGTAAAGACATTATTCATCTGGCAATGACTATTTTAAGTGGAACACCTGGGGAACTACCAGGATGGAGGAGAAGATAAGTGTTGGTCCTGAATAGAAGACTGAACTGAGTGATGAAAACAAAAGTCATTTTGAACATACTTTTGTTGAAAACCACCCCAAGTACGTCATTTACGGAACTGGCTTCAAACTGTTGTAAAGACAGATTACACCCCTCCCTACTACATTTCAAGTTCTTTTGTCCACTCCCTTCTATATATTTATGTAAAGTGTTGATTGCTTGTTTGTGATCCATTCAGAGCACCTCTACAGTCACTTTGGGTTGTAAATGACCGTGGCTCCAGTAGAGAGCCACACACACTTTCCTCTGGGGGATTGTAGGTGACAGAGCCCAAGTCAAAAGACTTATGAACCGGGCAGACTTCTACTATCAAAGGAGCCACAGGGGAGCCAATTTAAAGGCCACATCTTTTTTATAAAGAGGTAGGACTCATCACAGATGTGAGGAGGTACAGATGTGAGGAGGTACAGATGTGAGGAGGTACATATGTGAGGAGGTACAGATGTGAGGAGGTACAGATGTGAGGAGGTACAGATGTGAGGAGGTACAGATGTGAGGAGGTACATATGTGAGGAGGTACAGATGTGAGGAGGTACATATGTGAGGAGGTACAGATGTGAGGAGGTACAGATATGAGGAGGTACAGATGTGAGGAGGTACAGATGTGAGGAGGTACAGATGTGAGGAGGTACAGATGTGAGGAGGTACAGATGTGAGGAGGTACAGATATGAGGAGGTACAGATGTGAGGAGGTACAGATGTGAGGAGGTACAGATGTGAGGAGGTACAGATGTGAGGAGGTACAGATGTGAGGAGGTACAGATGTGAGGAGGTACAGATATGAGGAGGTACAGATGTGAGGAGGTACAGATGTGAGGAGGTACAGATGTGAGGAGGTACAGATGTGAGGAGGTACAGATATGAGGAGGTACAGATGTGAGGAGGTACAGATGTGAGGAGAACCGCATCAGCAACGCTGAGCAGTGATCTTTATGTTTGCTCAATACAAACTCTTGTCCTTTGAACCCCCTTTAATACACGTGTGCTCTCCTTTTCCTTCTAAGACATGGGTTTACGTGTGTGTTGATTTTTAGAGATACAAGTTTTGTATGAAAAAATAACCAAACATGTGCTGTATGTGAATTGTTTTGTTTGTTTTTTGTAAATGATCTGCTAATGTATTTTGTTATTTGATAAGTTGTTAATTCTAGGTATTAACTTAAAAAAGATGATATGTGTTTCTCTATGTTGATTACTTTCATGTTCTCTGATATACTCTCATGCTAATATCTGATGAATATGTACTAGGCTGCCTATTTGTGCTGGGCATAAAATACTCTAACAGTTGGCCAGGTATTTACTTCATTCCCTTTATGAGAAGAACATGTATATATATATATATATATATATATATATATATATATCACATAACTGTTTATCCTCAAATCTCAATATACTTGTCTTTAAAGCTATACCTTTGTCAGATTCATGGTTGTCTGTTCAATGATCGTCAACACGGTAGCTCAAGAGAGTGATCTTCTGGCTTCTGAAACATCACCTCTTTCTCCCCGACAATCTTTCTGTTTCCCCTTTTCCACTGAAAGCCTGTATGGTTGTTCCGCCATGCTGGTGCTTGTGTGGTTTTTAAGTGAGAACTTGTTTAATTGTCCACCGTTAAGAGCCCAAGTTCTTCCCAGTCATGACATCAGTGTTTACGCCGCTGATTTTCCATTCACAAAAACAACAAAGGCGGACTGCGTCGGGTCTATGCTTGTGTTGCTCTTCCTCGTATGAAGCCAGATTAGATTAAAGAACGATTTCTCCAACGTTAAACTCTGTCCAGAGTGCAGTGGTTCATCGCTTGACAGTTTGGTTCTGTGGCATTTGTCGACCACTGCAGTGTACTGGCGTTTAGCACCGTTTACTCACGGCAGTGAAAGTTAAAATGCACTGTCTGACTGTCACACAAGCAGCTGATGCATATTTCCCATCCCCATAAGTGGATGCTTTTCCGTTTGAATTGACGCTGTTTGGCATCATAAAGACGTCATTAGAGTTTCTCTTTTATCAAATAGGTGATGTTAGCATAGCCATTGTAGCTAATCTGACTATCTTGACTGTTGGTTGCTATCATATTGTGGGAGAAACCATTTTCTACTGGCATATTTGTTTTTTTAAATGGTTTGCATCGGGCACTGAGCACAAAGAGGCCCTGGAACCACTTTGGTAGAGAAAGGATGGGAGGAGGTAGAGCGTACACACACCTTAACAAACATGCAGATGTAGAGAAGTGAGAGGAAGAACCCCTGTAGCAATCTTCGTGGAGTTTGAGGGGGGGAACAGGGAACTTCTCAAGCTATTAACTTCTGCAGGAGGTATTTTCCCAAAGTGATTAATATATCTGTCACCTCAGAGCAGCTCCAGGTATGTGAGTGTATACCTCCGCCCCGAATCCTTCCTCTCCGCTCAGCCCCCGCCGCTCTCTGCTTTCTCCCTCCTATCTTGTCTCCCCTCCTCTTCTCTGTGAGGCTCCGTTCCATAGAAATGCATCCGGGAGGTAGCAGGGCTGTTAAGCTGAGACGAGGGGACGGCCTTATTGGCTCTGATTGGAGACTCGGCGGTGCGTCTGTCTCTTTTCTCGCCCTTTCCTTCTCCAGAGGGGCAGGACCGAGCAACTACAAAGTTATGCTGAAATTAAAGTCGGCCTCTTCTCGCCTCGGAGGAGTCACCCCCCCCACTCACACATACCTCCTTCCTT